GACATGCACATTCCTAAGAAGCCCAGAAAACAAAAACAGGGCCAAAGCAACAAATAGAACATSCAGCCTACCAACCACATCCAGCAGCCTGCCTGCACCCTTGAAATGCAGGCTGTGAAGCACAGTCTTTCTCAGCCTCCACACTACTGACACTCGGGGTCCTCCTGCGCCTGAGTCTTACAGGTTATCAAGCAGCATCCCTGGGTTCCCCGACCCCAGATCTGACAACCACGGATGTCTCCAGACATCACTGTGTCCCCTGCGACACAGCCCCTGCCCGCCCCCACCCCAGAACAGCTGGCTTGACCTTTCCCAGTCAAAGGGTAAAACTGATGGCTCCTGCCTGAGCCCCCAGCACATGGTGCTCCTGGACAACATTTTGTAGTCCATGGGAGGTCCTGGTGGGAGAGGGGTGTGTCCTCAGTCACCTGGGACTGAGCTGCAGGAGGACAAGAGGAACTTGGGATCACCGTTTCCTACTAGTGTGCCAGCATCGACCTATGGTCACTCCCAGACAAACAGCTTCCAGGCAGGGGCCAGGCTCAGGGGACCCTGTAGCTCACACCACCTCCCGAGCACATCCCCAGCTCCTGCCCAGGCCCCACCAGGACAGCAGGCAGCGTGACCTGGAGTGAGTGACCAAGCACCACAGCCAGCGCATCGCCACACCAACACGTCACCAGCTTCTGTTTGTCACTCTTTCCCGTCTCCACTAAGTCCCCCGCCACAGAAAGCAGGACGATCACCCACAGAGGCCAGCCTCAGAAGACACCTGTGAGTCATGCTGCCCCCGCTCTCTGCCACCCACCAGCTGCGCACACTCATCAGAGGGTCGCTCAGTCGGGAGGCTGTCTCCAAGGCCCACAGCCTAATGAGTCACCAAGAGGAAGGCCACCAGCAACCCTCAGGTTCTTTCTCTGTGCTGTCAGGCCAGTCACCAAAAATGCCACTCTCTCCTTCCCCACACAAGGGCCTTCCTGCTTTAGGAATGCCACCAAGAGTTCTCAGGGACCAGCGATGAGAGGGCACCCAGGCCTGAGTCAGTGCAAGCACCAACACTGCCCGCCTCCCTGTGGCACCCGCCAGCTCAGCTGTGCAGCCCAGTTTGACGCTGGCCATTCTGAGGGCAGCTGAAGCTGTTTCCTCTTCCTCCCAGAGGCCTGTCCTCCAAGAAGCCCCTGTACCTGCCCAAGGGCCACCGGCAGCCCCTCCCTCTGGGACCTCTGATGGTCTTCTCTGTGTGGCACTATGATATTCCTGACCTTTTTCTTTCCTCCTGTTTTTTGTAATTCATTTATTTATTTCAGGTGTAGATGGACACACACAATGCCTTATTTTCATGTGGTGCCGAGGATGGAACCTGGGTCCCRCCTGTGCTAGGCGAGCGCTCCACTGCTGAGCCACAGTCCCCGCCCCTTCTTTCCTTTTTTTTTTTTTAATTTTCAGTTGTCAATGGACACAACACCTTTATTTACTATTTTTATGTGGTGCTGAGGATGAAACCCAGTGCCTCACACGTGCCACACAAGGGCTCTACCACTGAGCCCCAGCCCAGGCCTGACCTTTTCCTTTATAACTGAACTGCTTGCCGAGATGGTGGCTGTGACTGTCACCCCAGTGACTGAGGAGGCTAAGGCAGGAGGACCAACTTCAAGGCTGAACTTGGCAATTCAGTAAGACCCTGTCTCAAAATAAAAATAAAGAGGTCTGGGGATGGGACTCAGTGTTTAAACACCCCCGGGTTCAATCCCCAGGACAAAACAATGACAACAACAATCAAACTCCTGGGGCTGGGGCTGGGGCTCAGCGGCAGAGGCCTCACCTGGCACGAGCAAGGCCCTGGGTTCCATCCTCAGCACCATACAGAAGTAAGTAAATAAAATAAGGGTATTGTGTCCAATTAAAAAAAAAAAATTGAACTACCTTGTTTAGGTAAGGTTCTAGAGACTGAGGAACATGTCCTGTCCTCTGTGCTGGGTAGGGGCACTGAGCATGTTCTGCAGGTGCTTTCACAAACAAGCACGGACATCTGCAGGCCGTATTTCAAATGTACTGTCACAGGAATACTCTGACCTCCGACCCGCACCAAACCTAAGCTTCTGAAGTCGTCCATTTTCACTTCAAGTACTGCCCTCATTTCTGAGACAGCAAAAGGGAGCACTGTAACCAGGCACCCTGCACACACGCACCACCCAGTGACTCCCGAGGCGGAGGCAGGAAGACCCCAGTCCAGACAGCCTGGACAACTCAGACCTGGCCCACAACAAGACACAAGGGCTGGGGATGTGTCAGTGGTCGTGCGCCTCTGGGCTCCGGCCCAGTCGGGAAATAGCTCCACAGGCTGCTGCTCCCTACTCTGCCCAGGGAGATGCCAACCCCCCCACCTGCAACCTGCCGGCCCTCAGACGGCAGCCAGACGACCAGACCGGGAGAAGCCCATGATGTTCAGTCAAGTGAGGTCCTGGCCAGGGAGGGAAGGGGCTAGGCAAGGAATCCCGCCTGCCATTGTGAAGGCAGATCCTGCCCGGCTGAATGGAAGGTCTTACCCACACAGGGTAAGGCTGTCTCTGGGTGAACTTTTTTGGTAATTTATTTATTTATTTCAGGTGTAGATGGACACACACAATGCCTTATTTTCATGTGGTGCCGAGGATGGAACCTGGGTCCCGCCTGTGCGGGTGGGCTGTCTCTGGGTGAACTTCCACCTTAGGACCAGGGGAGAAGGACAGGGGAACCTGGAGCAGCACTCTGCCCAAGCCCTGATGTCAGGCTCCAGTGGAGTTCCGAACTTTTTGCTTTTCTTCCCCTTTTTTGGTACCAGGGATTAAACCCATGGGTGATTTACCACTGAGCGACATCTGCAGCCTTCTTTATTTTGAGAGAGGGTCTCAAACTTGCAATCCTCCTGCCTCAGCCTCCAGAGTCACTGGAATGACAGGCTAGATGTCTAAGCTTTTTTATTTTTAACTTATTGTGCTGGGACTCTAACCCAGGACCCCTTATACACTAAGCAAGTACTCTCCCACTGGGCTACACCACCAGCCGCCTTTTCCACTTTTAGGATGAAGAGTGGCGGCCGTCCACTGGCACAGGCCCAGCAGCCCTGCTCTTAAGCCTCCTCAAAGTGAAGGCGAGACGTCAGTTCTTGTGAAAACCAGCCACTCATGTCCAGAGCCCCTTTACTCTAATCAAGAAAAACGAGAAAAAGAGTCCGTGTCCTGCGACTGCAGGATAAACAAAAACTGGCCTCTCCACCCAAGGGATGCCGCACCACAAAAAACAAAAACTGCAGGCTGGGGATGAGTTCAGCGGCAGAGCCCTCGCCTAGTATGTGCAAGGCCCTGAGTACCCAGTACAACAAGAAAAATAAATAAATATTTGGTTGGAGGAGAGACCTATAATGGGATTTGGCTGGGCTCGGTAGCACACAACTATAATCCCAGCAACTCTGGATGTTCTGGCAGGAGGATCCCATTAGCCTGGGTGACTCAAACTGAAAAATAAAACCAGGTACAGTGGTGCATGTGAGTAAGCTCAGCAACACTGGAGGCTGAAGCAGGAGGATCACACAAGTTTGAGGCCAGCCTTGGCAACTTATCGAGGGCCTAAGCAACTTAGACCTGTCTCAAAATAAAAAGGAAAAAGGACTGGGATGTACTTCAGAGGTAGTACATCCCTAGATTCAATTCCCGGTACCAAAAAAAAAAAAGAAACATCTTGGGCAGGGGGTATGGCTCACTGGTAGAGSCCTGGGCGTGACCCCCAGCACACCACACATCACAATAATTACAAGGACTGCAGAGATAATGCTGATACCCAAAGCAACTTGGAGGAGGTTAGATACATTTTGCTGACTTAAGCACCAGAGCCAAAGGGCTACACGCTGTTGGTTCATTCATCTGACTTTATGGAAAAGGCAAAAGCGCCATCACAAAACAGTCTAGGGGCCAGGAAGTCGGAGGTAGATATGGGTGGGCAAGACAGTGGTTATGAGACCCAACCAATCTCTCCAAACTCACAGAACTGAACTCTGAATGTGAACGACCCTGCAGAGAGCTGAGAGAGGAGACAGAAGTTAAATCCGAAACTCCTGTGGCCTGGCCTGGTAGGAAAACCAGGGAGTCTCCCTCCTGATGCACACCCAGCCGTCCAACAGGAGAGGCAGGGCGAGGGCCTCGCTCCAGGCCGCCGCCACCCTACTTCCAAAGCCTGGCACAGGCCATGGAGTCAGGAGCCCCGGGCCGGCCCAGCAGGTCTCTGGGGGCCGAGGGTGCCAGGTCCCCTACAGGCCTGCCTCTCAGGCCCTATGCACCCAGAGCGCCCCCAATCCTGCCTGCTTCAATTTCCACCCACATGCAAACTGACCCCCAGGACCAGGATGCTGATGACCGGGGGATCCCTGGAACCCCAGGCAGAAGGCTTGTAAATTTCCACTCAGCCTACAATTCTAAGAGTCCCTAGAATTCGGGGGACAGCACTCCCACTTCACAGGACAGCTCCAGTCCTGCCCACCACCAGATGAGGTGACAACCCTCCCAGCTCGCGGGGTCGCACCGTCCTGCCCACCCCCAGATGAAGCGACAACCCCCCCAGCTCCCGGGGTCGCACCGTCCTGCCCACCCCCAGATGAGGCGACAACCCTCCCAGCTCGCGGGGCCGCACCGTCCTGCCCCCAGGGTCAGGGGGACAGCACTCCCAGCTCCCGGGACAGCTCCAGTCCTGCCCACCCCCAGATGAGGCCACAACCCTCCCAGCTCGCGGGGCCGCACCGTCCTGCCCCCAGGGTCAGGGGGACAGCACTCCTAGCTCCGAGGCCGCACCGTGCTGGCCCGAGGTTCCACCGACGGGCTCCCGACCCGGACCCGCCGGCTGACAGCGCCCGCCCGCGGGCACCGGGCAACGGCAGCCGCGCGGGGCGGGCGGAACGGCCGCCGGCGACGACGACCCCGCCGCGGCCCTGGGCCCGCCGCCCGCGTCCCGGGGCCCCGCGGCGAACTCACGTAGACCGGCAGCGGCCACGGGTAGACGGCGGGCTCGGCCCCCACGGGCGACTTGAGCCTCAGCTCCAGCTTCTCCCCCATGTCGGCGCGCGCGGCCGCCGCACCATGCTAGGCGGGCGGTTGGGGAGGGCGGGGCGCCGCAGGGCGGCGGGCGGAGCGGGGCGGGCGCGGCGAGGGCGGGGGTGGGGGGCGGCCCGGGCCTGGCCGCCGCCGCCGCGCTCCCGTCCGGCCCCGGCTGCCTCTTTGTGGTCACAGGCCCGGGGCCTCCAGCGCCGCCGCCATCTTGGGCCGGCGTGAGGCGAGCACAATGAGCCGGGGGCCGGGCGGAACCACTCGCCGCGCGCGGGGGGGGGGGCCGGCGCGAGGAGGCGGTGCGCCGATGCCGCCCCGCCCGCCGCGCCGCGCGCGCCACCCCTGCGCCCGCGCGGCCCCATGGGCTCGCCCGTCCGCACGTGATCACGCAGGCACGCACGCTCCTTGGCACGTCCTCGGCTGCCCTCGCATGCCCCCACCGGCCGGAAGCGGGGACCCCGGGAAATCCTGCGGGCAGGCCCGTCAGGTGGCGAGTTCGAATCCCGCCTCCCCCCATCCCGCAATTGGCAACTCGAGTCTCTCTTCAGTGTGGAACCCCGAATGCAGGGGCCCACCCCAGCTGCAGGCACAAGACACCCTCAGTAATGCCGCTTATTCATCATTCTGGGTACCAGCCGCTGCACACTCAGTACTGGCCCAGTGAATAAAATGAGTGCCTTTCTACTTTCTTTTCTTGTGGGGAACTGGGGATTGAGCCCAGAGGCGTGCTACCACTGAACTGCACCCACTGCCCTTTTTGTTTTATTTTGGGACAGGCCCTCAATAAGTTATGGAGGCTGGCCTCTAACTTGCCATCCTCCTGTCTTGGCCTCCACAGCCGCTGGGCTGACAGGCTTGCCCCTGCACCCAGCTCAAGCATATTCTAGATGACACCTTAAAAGTTGTCTTGTGTGTAGAAGAACCTAGGACCTCACAAGTTCTAGGCCAGTGCTCCACCACTGAGCCACACCTAGCCCCAAGAAGATATCTTAAATTTTAATGAGATTAACATTCAATTTAAATCAGTGGACTTTAAGAGGTAAGCCTCTTAAATAAAAAATGATGGTAGGAGGCCCTTGTTTTGGACTAAGCTCCTGCCCAGGGCACCAACAGACCAGGTTAAAGCTCAAAAGGGATCACTATCTCTAAAGTTCTCTTGGCCAAAAGAAAACTAAGTTGTTATCTGACCTTCCCAGAAAACAGGAGAGAAGAGATAAGAGCTCAATTTCCCCAACTGCCTGGTTTTGGTCAGCACCACCCTGAAGTCCCTGAGCCTCAGTCCTGATCTAATAAGAGTTATCTGCAAAACTAGGTGTGGCGGCTGCACCCATGGTGACCTCAGCTACTGGGAAGCCTGAGGCAGCAGGCAGCAAGTGGCAGGCCACTCTGGGCAACTGAGCGAGACCCGGTCCCCAGATAGAAAGGGCTGGGGTGTAGCTCCGTGGTAGAGCACCTGGTTCAGTCCCCAGCAGCACTCACAGGAAAAATGAACTGCGGCAACCTAGGTCAACTTTTTTTTTCTATTTTTCTTTTTTGGTACTGGAGATTGAACCCAGGGGCACGTTACCACCGAGCTACATCCTACAGAAGCGAGATATTCAAAGTGCAATTCATTTTTTATTTTGAGACTGGGTCTAAGTTTCCCAGACTGGCCTTGAACTTGGGACCCTGCAGGAGTCCCCAGAATGACAGATGTGGCCACTGTACCTGGCACACCAGGAGCCTAGCTCGAGGTGACCTTTCCACGCAGGGTCTTTGCTGGCTTCTCTTTCAGCTGTTACCAACCTATAAAACCAGTCTCCTAGGAGCCAGGCTTGGTGGCCACGCCTGGCATCGCAGCCGCTGGGGGGGGAGGGGGGGCTGAGACAGGAGGATCACAAGTTCACAGCCAGCCTCAGCTCACAGCTGGGCACTAAGCGACTCAGTGTCTGTAAATAAAACACAAACAGGGCTGGGGTGTGGCTCAGTGGTGGAGGCCCCCGAGTTCAATCCCTGGTACCAAAAAAAAAAAAAAAAGACTCTTCTACCCAACTCATTAGAACACTCCTGTTCTTCCTGGGAAGAAGTGTGTCTGGGTTCTGGAATCCCAAACATGCCACCATCTCTCCACCACTGTGATTTCATCTCTAGCCTGAGGAAGACTTTGGGCAGGCTCTTCCCTCTTTTATGGCTTGACCTTGGGCTCCCAAATTCTTCCTGGTCAAGCCTAGGATTAAAAAAAAAAAAAAAATCCTGCCAAGTCAGTTTAGCCAGAAACACCTGTCCTCCATTGGGATCACCTTCCTGTCTGATCAGATTCCTCCCCCACACTCCCCGCCGCCTTCTGCAGGAGCCTGGTTCTGGGTCTAGCCAGAACTCCCCTCACGGCTGAGGCTGAGGCTTCCTCTTGGTAATTTTCCGCTCCCTGCCCCTTCTCTCTGCTCCTGGAGTATGAATTCCCAATTTTCCTGGTTGCACTCTTCAGAGTCAAACTCAGTCTGTCTCCCCCACAGCAAACTCCATCCCAACAGGACAGGCCCCCTCCAATCAAAGTCCTGTGAACACGGGAGCCCCCCAGGGGAGTTGTGCCCCCGGCGCTGCCTGCCTGACCCTGGATGTGAGCTGCCATCCACTCTTCCCTGATGCCTGCCCTGCAGACTTGGGACTTGCCAGCCCACACAGTCACATGAGTCAGTTCCTTAAAATACCTCCTCCTCTGTGTGCAGCAGCTCAGCTCTATTTCTGGAGGCCTGAGTCATGGCTGGGAACCAGGCTTGCACTTGGGGGTATCTGGCTTCCGAGTGGCGCCTTCCCAGGAGGGGTGCCTGAGGATCACACCTGTCTCAGCAGTGACAGGTGGGCAGGCAGAGACGTGGGTCCAGAAGGAGGTGGAGCCTCGGAGCCTGCTCTGGGGGGCCCAGAGGTGTCCTGCCGGAAGAGGCCTTCCCTGAACCCCCGGGGACCGGCTCCCCTCATGTGTGGGCACTGCCCATTTGTCCAGGACCAGCTCGGAACCTGGCAAAGAGCAGGCTCGAGGGGTGCTCAGGGGGAAATGAGGGGCGGCAGAGTCCCCTGGGGAGATGAGTAGAGGGTGTGCAATTCCTTGGAGAAAGAGTGGGAGAGTCCAGGTCCCCGCGGGAACGAAGATGAGGGTGCTGTGGTGCGCTCGAGGTGCCCCCGAGCTCCTGTTAGTGCAGGATGTTCAGAGGTGAGCCCAACCAGTCCACCATGGTTCAAGTGGACCCACTGGTGGTAACTGTGGCCAGGTGGAGTGTGGCGGGTGCCCTGGAGGGTGCCTGCCCCCTGCACCTCCCTTCCCCTCTCTGTCTCTGCTCCCCGCCACTGAGCCCAGCAGTTCTCTTCCTCCTCGTGCTACCTCTCCTCCTGTCTCCCCCAGCAGTGGACTTGGCCCGCCACAGACCAAACCTCTGAAACCATGAGCCAAAATAGCCTTTTCCTCTTCTAAGTCTTCTAATCAGGTGCTTCAGTCACAGCATGGCAAAGCTGAGGGACACAGGGAACCAGCAGGGAAGAGGGGGCGGACAGTTCTGTGGTCCAGCAAGGACACAATTATTTACTCTAGCTGGGCCTGGTGGCACCTGGAGACCCAGCTTCTAGGAGGAGGCTGAGGCAGGAGGATCGCTGGAACCCAGGAATTCAAGAGCAGCCTGGGAAACAGAGAAAGACTCCTTCTCCAAACAACACAACAGTTCAGTTGGCAGGGTGCGGCGGGCACGGTGGGCACGCCTGTCATCCCAGCAGCTCAGGAGGCTGGGGCAGGAGGATGGTGAGTTCAAAGCCAGCCTCAGCAAAGGTGAGGTGCCAAGCAACTCAGTGAGACCCTGTCTCTAAGTAAAATATTGTCCCAAGGGTAAGCAATCGGGGCTGGGGCTGGGGCTCAGGGGTAGAGCCCTGGTCTAGCATGTGTGAGGCACTGGGTTCCAGTCTCATCACCCCATAAAATAGATAAAATAAATCCAAGGGTGAACAATAAAAAGTGTTCTTTGATCCCAGTGGCTCCGGAGGCTGTTAGGAGGATCGCGAGTTCAAAGCCAGCCTCAGCAAAAGCGAGGCACTGAGCAGCTCAGTGAGACCCTGTCTCTAAATAAAATACAAAACAGGGCTGGGGTGTGGCTCAGTGGTCGAGTGCCCCTGAGTGCAATCCCTGGTACCCCCCAAAGTAAAAAATGTTTTGTGATCCTGGGAACTGAACTCAGGGGTGCTCTACAGCTGAGCCAAGCTCCCAGTGTCATGCCAGGTTCATGAGACCCCATAGACCTCCAGGAGCCAAATCTGATGCAATCACACAAGAGTCTTTATTGCAAACTGGAGCCTGGACTCACAACCGTCCCAATGTAAGGGGGGTCCGGCGGAGCGTCGGAGGGAGAGACCATACAAGAGACTGGCTCCATGCAATTGGCAAAAGGGGATTTATTGGGGATCCATTCCAGCGCGCTGGGGCTCCGTGCTCACTCAAGAAGGGAGAGCAGCCCAGAGCCCAGAGCAAAGGTCAAGCAGAGCTTAAGTACACTTTTTGGAGAGGGCGGTGGGCTTTGCATACATCAGAACAAATCATCATGAGGCGCGGGGAA